CCCCCCCCCCCCACACACACACACTTCAATCAGGACACTGTTGGGGAAAGCCAGCTTTGTTCCATTCACACCTGTTTGTCTACATGATGACACATGGCGCTTGGCTCTTGGTGATCTTTGTCAGAGGTTTGCCTTCATGAGCTTTCTGGATGACTTCCATTACCTGGATAAGTGCAGGATTAAGACAAAAACAAACAAAAAAGTTACAAACCTACTTTTTTTTGTTGTTGTTTTGAATTATGAGAGGTTCTTTGAATATCAGAGTTTGCATGATTCTTAAAACTCTTTGTCATTGGCTGACAAATGCAGGGGCGACAGCATCCAACAGACCACCCACCAATTATACTTAAAATGGTTCCTTCCTGATAAAGCCAATGAAGCCGAAAGAGCAAGAAACCCAACATATTATGGGCCGTATTTTGGTGCCGAGAGCAAGTCTAGCGCCAGTGATGGCCATGTTCGATCCTGGTTTTGCACTCAAGTCAAAATCAGGCAAGTTTCTGTGGCTTTTTCATAACTGGATTGACGTCTTATTAAAGATGACCGAAATTCAGCCATTTCTGTTTCCTTCGGGTCATTATTTTCAATAGTGAAAAGTACAAAAACAAACAAACGATCAAATCAATATACATTGATATCGACCAATATGAAATGCAGATATTGTGATATACTTTGATCATATCTCATCAATGAGCAAATATATTAAATATGCACCACGTTTCGCCTCTCAGGGAATCATCAGGCTACGAGTGGTTGCATATTTATTAAATTTGCTCGCCTGTTTTATACAGCTATTTTGTGCAGATCTGAGTTCATTACGGCATAAGCGTAGATTGACAGACGACGGCACATTCAGACTTGCGTACGTACGTAAATATTTGGGTTACGTCGATGTAGTTGGTCGGAAGCTAGCAGTGTGCATTGCGTTAAAAAAAGGGGCACAAAACTACTTACGTCATCCTCATATGGGAATCCTCCGAGCTCCAGTTTCGAGAAAACCAGCTGCCCGTTGATTTCAATCTCAAAGCTGGCTATAAAAGACAGAGCGTAAGACTTTTAAACAGATCTCAGACCATAATTTAGATTACTGTGGCATTTATGATTTACCTTTCCGGCCAACGAAGCCCGACACATCCGCATCGGGAAACTCACCCTTGACGACTCGGGCAAGCTCCCGATAACGGGGCTCGTAGCCTCACTTGCCACTGGAGATGATGGAGAAATTCGGTTAAGC